CGCGAGCTCTTGCTCACCAAAGGTATCATGAACCACAACGTCTTCACTGGTAGTGGTGGAAGGCCCTCTTCATCATCTCCTCCCTCCTCCTCTTCTTCAGCTTCCGCCGGGTTCATCTGGGCGTCTTCCAGCTCTTTGGCCTCATCTTCCAGCTCGAAGTCCCAATCTCCTGCATCCAGAGGTGGCAACTCCGGCTCATACTCCTCTTCTTCTATCACCAATTCTGGTCGAGGCAATGGGTCAGGCGCTCCTTTGATCATGAAGATTGTTCTTCCTGCCCATCTTGAATCATCCTCGAACAGTCGCTCGCCAGCTCCTGCAGTTCTCCAATCATCAGTCCTCGTCTCGTACGCACCTCCTTTGGCCTTTCTACCGACCGTGCGCCTCACATCCGCCAGCTGGTCTATGGGCACTGGACACTCTTCAGCCTCCTCCTGGGAAAAACTTCCCTTTTCTGTGGGACTTGCGCACCCTGATGACCATTCGCCCATCGATGCTCTTGGTCCAGTAGTCCGCCAGCCTCCCTTTCTCTTCTTGGAGCTCTCCCTCCTGGCCCTTGTTCCCCTTTTCGTAGAACAGGATTGTCTTCAGGTTGCGGGTCTTGTCCAAGCGTCTATGAAGGTCTTTCTGCTCTATTCGTCACCTCCACGCTTTCCAGAACCTCACCGGTGTCATTGTCCACGGTGACTCGCCACTTCACGCTCCTCCAGGGTGGTCCTCCTTGTCGGGTGGTTCGGTAGGCTACCGCATTCTCGTCGATCCTTTTCCACCTCCGCATGGCTTGTACCCGTTGAGGAACTTTCCAACTGCCCGGAGCCAATCCGTCAATCTCCTCATCCCAGACCTCTTCTTTTCCACCGCGAGGTAGGGTATAGGCACCCATCAGGAAGTACCTACAGCTCTTGCCGTCGATGTCGTGTCCTCGACGCAGAGGTCCCGCCAAGTCCACAGACAAGATGTGTGCCTGGGGATGAGCGATGCGCCGATGTGCTCGCCCCTGTGCGGATGCTTCCTGGCATACACGACAGTCTCGACGATACGGCGTATGGCCGTTGGCCAAATGCTCGGCCCATGACAACTTTCTCACAGCCGTCTTGATACCTCTTGCTTCCAGCAACGCCTTCGCCACAGACCGCATCAGTCCCGGCGCCCATCTCGCAAGCTCTTTCGAGCCCTCCATATTTGCTGCAGGGCTGGTCGTACGAGTAGACCTCCTTTCTTTGCTGCTTTCCTCAGGGATCACCAACTCAAGGTCCGTGCCCATCGTCGTAGGTTTCGCGGCCTTTCCTCCGAACACACTCTGAAAGAAGGTGATTTCACTCAGGCCCTCCTTCTCTTTCATTGCCTTCCACTGCGGCGTTCGCCACCACGACCAACACTCCGGCATATATTTCTCCGGGCTGGCTGGGTGCTCCACAAGGAAATGGGGTTCTTCACTTCCCTTCCGTAGCGCTGCCTTCTTTGCCGCCAGGTATATGACCATCATTCTCCACATCATCACGTCATCCTCGAACACCGCCTTAGCTTCGTGCTCGGTCAGATCTGCCTTCCCGAACTGCTCCTCCACCGCGGGGCCCCTCACCGGTCTCGGGCCTCCTCCAGCCTCCGGCAACGGGTAATGCCTCAACACACTCCTTGTTCGACAGTTTGGTCCTCCAACCACTGCCGCCAGGCGCCCATCCTGCGCTAGCCTCAGGAGCGTGCCGTAGAGCGGTCCCCTCACCATGTCGTGCTCCTTTCCTCTCTGGATATCCACCTCCAACAGGAACCGGTTGTCTCCTCCTAGCTCCTTCACTGCTCGTGATAGAGTGTAACCTTCTTCTGTGCCTGCATAGAGGTGCAACCAAAGGGGATCTCCTCCTTTCTCCAGCAGCCTCCTCCTCCTCCGGTTCCAGGGTAAATGCCGAAGATCCTCCGCAGGCTCCTCCACCAACATGGCCTTCACCTTGTCGGGCACCCCCTTGAACACCGGATGAGAGTCCACCAACCGCTGAATGCTTTCCTTCTCGATCAGCGCCTGTACCAGCACCTCACCTTTATCCTTCGCTGTCTTCAGCTCCTCCAGCTCGTCGAGAAGCTTCATCGCCACGGCCCTTCCTACGTACGGGCATTCATCTCTCATGGTCACCCTCAACTTTCCTTTTCGTGGGTGCTCTACTGCACATTCCGCACCAGACCACTCCACTTTGCACCCCAGGGCTTTGATCAGGACTCCCAAGGGAATGATCGGGTCCACGTCCGGATCGTCATGGATAATGATTCCTCCCGGGCTTATTCTCATCCAACGTTCTTCACCTCCGGCAAGCGTTACTCTCACCTCTTCCATAGATTCAAGGTCTTCCGAAGGTTTGCATCCTCGAAGTGGATGAGTGGCCCCTGAGTCCAGCAGTCCTCCAACGGCTCGGCTCAAACTCGACACCTGGGCCTGATTCAGCCTTGGGTCTCCTCGGATCTCGTCCAGCTGCTTCTGCAACATCTCGAGCCGGTTCTCCCTTTCCTTTCCATTCTTCACACCGCTGGTCTTGTTAAGGCTCCTCAGCATCTTGCTCGCCTCCTCCAACACCTTGGTGACTGAGCTGGCCGCTGTCTCCTCTACTACTACCTCTTTCTTTTTCTTGTCCTTGTCACTCTCCTGGTCCACCACCGTCTGAGTTTCTCCCGTCCCTCTTGTCTCCTCAGCCTTGAATGGCTTCACCGCCGGTGCCGTTGTTCGATCTCCTCCTCCAGGCTTGGAGACCTTGCGCGGGCAATCCTTCCGCATGTGTTCTGTTGAACCGCAGTCCCAACAGCGTCCTCGAGCCGTCTCGTCCGTCGGATGCAGCCAATCACATCCTCGACCTCGCCGGCAGCCGCTGTCAGACATGTAGAACCTGCAGGGAGTTTTCCCCTTGGCTCCTCCTTTCCCGTCGCCCTTACCTTCTTTGCCTTCCCTTCCTTCTTTTCCTTCTTTTCCTTCGCGGCCTTCTTTGGACTCCTCCAGCTTCCGGACCTTGGTGTCTCCTCCTGCCGGGCTGGTCTTCGCCGGAGCCTTCTTTTCACTCAAAAAGGCCGTCTGCTCAAGCTCCGCCAGCAAGTGTTCCGCGTACTGCAGCACCGTCGCATGGGTCGGAACCGAGTCCACCTGCAGTGTACTCCTTGCCAATGAAACTCGAAAAGTCAACTCCCGGTTCGCTTCCAAGACCTTCTTTGTGAGCTTCGTCAGGCCTCGCATCAAGATACTCGAGTCCGGCAGGGTCAACCCAACGTCTCCTGCACGTCGCCGCCATCTGACCCACCGTCTCAACCCTTCACCGCCTCCGACACCGACTGAGCTTCGCCCGGCTCCTCCAAGTTCTTCAAGACCACAGCCTTCTCTGCCAATCCTCCCGGCTGATAAGCGATCATCAGCTTGCGCAACGTCGTGACGGCCTGCGACGAGATCAGCTCATCTCGGATTCCTTCCGGTACCGCCTGGATCAGCATCGACACGGCTCTTCTTTCTACCCGACTCCACTTCTTCATCTTCAAGGATGTAGGGGTCTCCGGGATCATGTTCATCCGCTTGATGGGGACCTCCTGCAAGTAGCGGGCATACCATTCCTTTGCCTCGGTGACCATCAACTGCCACCACTCAGCGCTCGAATCACTCAAATCGGCAAGGAGCGGCTCTATGATGATCATCCAGTCACCCAGATCGATGGGGCCTGACTCCGCCGTGGGTTCACCCAGCTTTGGCAGCTCGGTGATACCGGGACGAACCACCTCCACCGTCTCCTGGTTTCCTTTCCCGTCACCACCCATCAACTGCTTTTGCATAGCCTGCATCCCTTCCAGCAGCTTCAGAATGACGTCCATGTGTTTCCCGTTCTTTCCACTGCCCGCCACCGATGCCGGCCTTAGCTCTGAAGACGATTCATCATCATCTTCAGGTTCACTTCCATTGCTCTTGCCGTTGGCCACGTCCGGGTTCATGCCCTGGTCACGCACATTCTGGCCATAGCTCACGTCCACGTTACTTCCCATTACCTCCATGGGCTTCCGGCTGTTGTCCCCGCTCTTCTTGTCCTCAATGCTCAGCACCTTGCTCTTGTCCCGACTATCCGGGGTGCCGTAGCTTTCTTCCACCGTCTTGCCGTTCTTTAGGCTCTCAATCTCCCTCATCAGGCACTGGTTCTGCGCCATGAGCTCGTTCACCAGCCGCATCACGTACTCCTGGTTCTCCACATGCATTCCTGCCGCCGGTGACATCCTGGTCGTAGCGCCCGCCAGCTCCATACCCGCCTCCATAGGTTCAGGTAGATGCCGAGGTCTTTCTTGGTCCATCCGCGTTCCGTGGATCAAAGGGGCCTCTCTCCGCCACCGAGTCAGGGTCTCCATCTGGGCCTCATTGAACAAGGGTTCCAGAGCCACAGGATCACCACGTGGCCCACCTGCCCATTGTTCTTCTCCATCTCCCTTGCCTTCTCGACCGCGGGAACCTTCTTGAAGGGCCGTTCTTCCCGAAGTCGACCTCCTTGGCGTGTCGAGCTCCTCCACGAACCTCTTCCCACCGGAGTTCCCCTTGCCCTTGGCGCCCACCGGCACCAACTCCTGGCCGATCAGCTCCATGCTCACCTCCGCCTCTTCTGGTTCTTGCCGTCCGAGGTCTCCCGGAGATGCCATGGCTTCCAGCTACGCGCCTTTTTCTTGAACACAAACGGCTTCCAGATATTCCTAGAATAATATTTCACCAACCTGACATAAGGTGGTTGGGGGGGCATAGCCCCCCACATAAGCCTTACCATTTGGGGTGACTTCGGTCGTGTGAATTCGGTCGTTATACTTCAGCCTGAGCCATGCAAAACCCCTCAAAACTCCCTGCGCCCTGGGGAAGTTTTCATCTTTTACAGACATATAGATCCTCATATAGCCCATGTTACCCGAAAAGTTACGAAAAGTTTCGTGTTTTTTAAGAGGTAAGAAATGTAAAACCCCTGGGAAGCAACCACAGGAAGCCCACCAGAAGCAGCCTGCTTCCCGGCCTTGTGCACCCGCTGCTCCTGCAAGGGAAACCCCTTGGCGGGTTTTTCCCGCTGGCTGAACGGCAGAAGGCACATCCAAGACGGGGGATCCCAAGAAAGAAAGAACGGCCTAGGCAGAAAGCAAACAGCATCCCCATGGATGATCACCGGACAAATCGGACAAATCTGTTTGTTTTTGGCTGGTTTCGGGAGATGGGAACCAAGGCTGCGGATTGCTTCGACCGCGATCTTGTGCTAGAAGGTAAATAGCCTTCTGTCTGGGCAATCGGGCCTAGATCTTCTTCTTTCAAATAAGAAGGTGTCCAAAAGTTGGGGCAGGACCTGTTTTGGTTGTTGTTTGTTAACGGGAACGCCAGAGGAAACCGCTCATTGCAAAAGGGAAAAGGGGCGCCCTCTTTTTTGACACGCCCCGATGGAGCTTTGCGAGCCTCTGGAAAACAAACATCGAAGTTGCAGGTTTCCTAGAACGGAAATTGCCCTCTTTCTAAAAATCATGGAACTGGACTGGGAGGGTCCCCGAGAACAAAGTAGTCTCTCCCAACCCCTCTGATCATCAGCTTCCGTAACTGGAACAAGGGAAGCTCGGGATAAGGGCAACCTGAAGGCGTTTGCTTTAAAGTCTACCAGTGGACGATGAACTGTTGGAGTTCCTCTGCTGCAAATCACCCAAAATGGGTCAGCCAAAAGTAAGTTCCTCTAAAATGATATGGTCCAAATGGGTGACCTGTCTAGCTTCCGCCCCCTTGAAGAGGCCTCCTTGAAGAGGCCTCCTTAAAGAGGCCCCCTTGATGAACCTCCTTTTCACCCAAAAAGGGTACCCGGCCTCAAAAAAGACACCCAGCGTCTCAATGACCCAGTGGAGCCCGGTTGCCATGAAGGTGACCAAAACCTTTCGCCATGTCCTGAAACACCCAACTCCCATTCTGAACTCCGTGGCCCGCCGTTTCTTCCCGATGTTTTTCGTCCCCTCCTTGAAGAGACACACCCGATGTGTCCAACAAAATATTTCTCCAAAGCATGCGGCTTCCCTTTGGGGAGCAGGATAGGGCCAACCACAAGAAGCACGCGTGTCTGCTGATTTCCCTGTCAACCAACCTCAAAAGAACCGCACCAGCAAAAACAAATCCCCGAAACTAAGCCAGTGGATCCCTAGATCGTTCAAAACCCTTCGTCGACCCCCCCCCCCCAGGCCTGTTCCCCCCCACTCCACCCCACCCCCCCACTCCACCCCACCCCCCCACTCCACCCCACCCCCCCCTACCCCACCCCACCCACCCCCCCCCCCCTCGGCAAACCCCCGGCCCATTCTCCTTGAAGAGGCGCTTCAGGCGGCGCACGGCCTCCACCGAGCTGCCGACGATCAGCGGCCCCGCCACGCGGAAGTCCAGGCGGTGCACTGCCCGAGGCCCCCCACAGCACGGCGTGCCTGAGGAGAGGTTGGGGTGGCTGTTTTTGCCGGGGGTGTGTTTCTGCTTTTTTGGTTTTGGGAGGGGCAGGGGGCGGGGGGCGGGGGGGGAGCGTTTGTGCGGATTGTTGGGGAGAGGTTGGGAGGGGTTGGAGGGTTTTGGAAAGGTGTTGGCGTGTGTTCAAGGGTGTCTGACAGTTTTGGATGGTTCGGAAGACTTGAAAACAGATTTGGGGAGCGGTTGGACGGGTAATGGGGTGGTGCGGCTGCGCCCACGGAAAAAGTGTGGTGTCTGCAGCCGACATGGTTTCACTGGAAGTTGTTCTGCATTGGAGCCTTCTCGCCTCCTCATGAAAGGAAAGCTTGGCTTCGTTTGAAGGCGCCCGAATCTGAGCTTCACTCCACCGCTCGCATTTCCCTTTGGCTTCTGCTTTCCTCCGGTAGGAACGCCGCCTCAAATTATGTGTTTCAATCCTTGCACCACCTCCCCCCCGCCCCACCCCACCTCAACCAAACCCTCTTCCCCCGCCTCTCCCCCACCCCCACCCCTCCACTGCAAACCTCCAATCCTCCAAATTCCTTCCCTCCGCTCCAAATTCCTCACCCGGGCCTTCCCGGGGCGGAGCCACCAGCGCGGGCAGATAGGACTGGAAGGTGAGCCGCTTCTTCTGGTGGCTGCCCGCCCAGGGCGTGGAGTCCAAGCCCGCCGGCTTGTTCACCTCGCATGCCATGGCCGCCAAAAACGGACGAGGAAAAAACCGCCGATGGGGGAGGGAAGCCAAGCTGGTGGCATAGACCCCCCAGTCTTCATCCAAATGCAAAGGAGTCACTGCGCGGTTTTTGTTTGATTGCTCGAAAATGGCTCCTCTTGCCAAAGTACAAGTCCCATGGACATTTTGTTTAAAGATCTTCACAGACCAACCCTGGAATTTGTGTGGTTTCCCTTGAAACGCCCGAAAAGCACGCCCCAGCAACTCGCCAAGACATAACCTGCTGCGCCTGGCCCCGAAAACCGGCAGCCCCCCCCCCCCAAATGGTTTAATCATTTTTTTCAGCGACCCCCCCAACATCCCGATTTTCCTCTTGACCTTCTCTTCCAAGGCTACCAAAGCTACGGGCTACCCCTCCAAGGCTACGGCCCCCCCCCACTGGCGGATCCGCCCGGGGCCCCCCAGCCACCGCCCAGCCAAAGTTGGGCTCCCAGTGCAGCAGCCGGATCTGCGCCTGGCGGAGCGGCCACCAGCCGAAATCGATCGGCCACCGGAGTCGAAAAAAAACCTGGGGGAGCCTCGCAGAAGAATATCTCGGCGGCGAAATCTGCTCCCCTGCCAAAAGTTTTTAACTTTTAGTGGTTTAGTTCGGAAAACCCACATTCGTTGGCAAAAAGTTGAAAAGTCCTAGCAGCCAGGCAAAATGCACCAAAGATAACATGGCTGTGGGTCAAAAATATGGTAACCCCAAAATGGGTTGCCCGATCGGTACATGGAAACATGGACCAAAACCTGCGGTGTCCTGGTGGTCTAAGTTTGACCCATACCCAAATAACGAGACGCCCAAAAAACGGCGGGGGATTCTATTTTGACCTTCTGTTGAAATTAACTTCAAAAAGATGGTGTTCCCACACAAATGAGACTCCCAGTGCAAGAAAGATATGTTCAGTGATATTTTGAGTGAGGCCCCTTCATGTTCGCCCAACAGAACATGTAGGGGCTACTTTTAACGTGCAGCTATCAAATCTATGGGCCAATAGACGTCTCTAAAGAGCAGGGAGATCGTTGAACAACCACCACAATGGCGCAGGAAATATGAAGATCTGCAAGAGTTACCTGCTTCAAGGGGCTCAGAAAGAGGTATTCACAGCACCAGGCTCACCCCAACCTTCGAACGGCTGAAAGACAATTCTGCTTGTGGCTCCGGTCATCCATTGTTGACGGAAACCATCCCGCGGGTGTCCTGTCCGATAGACGAACGACAGCCGCTCAGCCCAACTGCTAGCCACTCCCTGCCTCCTCCCTGCTGCTCCGCAGGCTGTTCCAATTGCTCAAGCGCTTCCTTGCCGGGCGAGCGCATTGGTCCGGGTTGCGGAGCGCAATGCCCGGAACAAGGGTTCCGAAAATCCTGAAAAATGGGTTGCTCTCAGCCCCAAGCAAAAGCTCGATCGCCTTTTATAGGCTTGGTGGAAAAGCCAGTTGTTTCCAAAAGGTCTAAGGGGCGATTTGGCCACACGTCCAGCCATGAGGGATACCTCAAATAAAAAAGCCTGGAGGTTCGAGCATCTTTTGGTGAGCGCCACTAGCGGATATGAGGCGGGAAGCCGTTGTCGCATGCGGAAGCACCTGGGAGTTGTGCTTCCCATAACCAAGATAACTCCCTCCCTCCGAAAGAGCGAAACGCTCATGTTGCGAGCGACCTGAGCTAAGCTTGGGCGATACCCCCTCTTTAGACCTTGGTTTCACCAAGCTGCTTAAACCAACTGGCTGTTCCCTTCGAGTGGACCTGACATGTGGCTGTGGCTCAGAAAAGTGGCACCCTGGTAAATGGAACTAAAGACTAAAACCCGCGGTTTGCCCCAGCTCTTTAATTTTGAGCCATACCCATGTGGCTTGCTGGGTGAAAAACCCTCCCTGTTCAGCACCCGCCGAGCATCTCGATGTCCTCTGGAACCTCGAGCGCCACGCCCTGCTCGATACTCAGCCGGTCGCCTGGCTTCGATACATCCCAAATGGCAAAGCCCCCCCCCCCCCACCCGGGTTGCGGTTGGTCCATGGGGACCTTCCTGTGAAATCTCGCGCGGGTACCACGAAGTCCATCTGGCAGAAACAAAAATGGAGCTTTGGACAACCCAGCCAATTGCACAGCCCTAGTCTGTTGAATGGCTTGGTACGAGTAACATGAGCTCAAATCCAATTAACTCAAGATCCAAACAATCACACAACCACAAACTCAACTGTACTGGAAGCTTTCTATGTCAGAGTTCCTTGGGCACAAATCAAACTTGGCATCCACGGCGACCCGTGGAATCCGGGTCGTTGAGGCGGGATTCCAAAAGCCAAAGACTACTGAACCGGCCATGAATCAAAAAAAGATTAGGGACCCTCTGGTAAACATCATGGTGCTGGTTCATGTCCGCCAGCTTTCCAGGGCCGCATTTAAATTCACCCATCTTTGAACTGCATCCCGTGTCTTCAGACCCCGGTTCAAGCCTTGAATTGGGCACCCAAAAGCATCACGCCACCGCCAAAATGACCCAAGCTCCGTCCAAATCGCAGTTTTGATGCTGACTTTTATATTGGGAAATGCGGGTCTGATTCTTGCTGGACCTTGTGGCCAGTATTTATGTGGGGAGCTTTGCCCACCGGCCATTTTGGAGAGGTTCCAACCATGAACAGTCATTCTAGCTGTGCAAAGAACACATACTCAGCCAAGTCTTCAAGTGGAAGACCTCCATCCTGAGTTTTAAGAATTTGCTCCTTTTACCCCCGCCAGTGGGTGTCCTTCTCCCAAAATAGGGATACCCCTCCCCCCCCCCCCCTCCAAAAAAAAAACACAACAAAAAAGGCTTATAGCTTCTCTTTGGTTTCCCTTTACACCAAGC